AGGAGCCCCTAGTAGCTTCTTGTTACTAGTAGTATGGCCAGGAGCCCGTAGTAGCTTCTTGTTACTAGTACTATGGCCAGGAGCCCCTAGTAGCTTCTTCTTACTAGTTAAGTGTTCCCTGAAAATCTCGGAACCAAATCATTAGTGCGAGCGCTTCTTCAAGGAAGCTCCCCCCGCCCTCAGGTGAGGGGAGCTTCCTTGAAGCGTGAGCTATCCTGCGTCCATATGTAGCTTAAGTAGCTTACTCCCTTAATCAGGAGCAGGATGTAGCAGGATGTAGCAGGCAAGAAAAGGGACCTGTCTTTTCGCTGTGCCTCGGCGTCGACGGTGTAGACCCGATGAGTCCGAGTCAGTCCGAGTCCCGAGTCCCGACCTCGCAGGCGACTGGTAACCTGGATGCGGCAGTGGCTTTGCTTTGCGGTTAAACCTCAAGGCTTTGCTTTCACTTTGGCTTTGCTTTTCAAGTTTTTATAGATCTGTCCAGGCGCAGTTGGACACTTCCTCGCTGGTACAGCATTGCGAGCAATGTGTCAAAAGAGCCAAATGCGCGCTAGAGCCGGAAGTGAACTCAAGCTGATTTGGTATGCTTGTACGTTGGAGGCCATCGCTATTAGGTTGATGCCAAGTTGATTTTTCTTTTGTGCGTGAAGGACTGCCACTGACAGTCACAAGAATCATTCAATGGCTTCAAAACCAGCTTTGGAGCCTAAACTATCTGAGAAGTGCACCGACCAGGAAATCGCAATTGAAAGATGGCAAGACAGTCACAAGTTGTCACAAGACTTCTTTCAAACACCTTTCACAGCACTCCAGGCCGGTAGCTCAAGCAGGGTGATTTTGCCTATGCCGCCGTCGGTAGAACATGGATTGGGTTTGCCATGAACAGGCATCGCTTGGTGTTTTGTGAAGGCCAAATTGGTATGAAACACCCAAATTGCTTGGTGGTGTTTCACATGTTCACCAAACTTTCAAGGCTCAGCAACACGGTCGTGCACGAGATCTGTACGAACCAAGTTGTGGTCACGCTACAGGCTGTTTACATTGGGCCAGAGTGGCCAGATCCGAGCATCGGATTGGGGACACAACCCTTTCATGCATGTGACACAGATAGGAACATAGTGAGCCATTGTGCACTGACAGGTTCCGAGCGTTTTGTGCTTTCTCTAAATCAAATCATGTTTTTTTGTTTGGAGAACAGGGTTTCGTGTGGGAACCTTCGACTCAGCTTCCCAGCTTATGAGCTACGATGATTGGCTGATTTCTTCAGCTTATGTTTTCTACTCCGCTTGTGACTACCTACCTATGACCTATACAACCCCTACCATCATACCTTTATCATACCTACTAGCGATGGCCTCCAACCTACTAGCCATGGCCTCCTTTATCCCCTGTTTGGCCGATTTGCTTTGTTGGAGGCTTGCGTGAAAGAGCTGGTCGAAAACTCCTTGGATGCCAAAGCGACTCGCATCGAGGTGAGACTTCGAGATTCCGGTGCTGAGCTCCTAGAGGCGGTCCAAAAGGGCGAGCAACAAGCGATGTTACTAGTAGTAACAAGTGCCACGCTAGTAGTAACAGGTGCCTTACTAGTAGTAACAAAAAGCTATTAGATTTAAAATTAACTATTAGCTTGATTGTTACTACTAGTAAGGCACTTGTTTCTAGTAGCGTGGCACCTGTTACTAATAGCTTCTTGTTACTACTAGTAAGGCACTTGTTTCTAGTAGCGTGGCACCTGTTACTAATAGCTTCTTGTTACTACTAGTAAGGCACTTGTTTCTAGTAGCGTGGCACCTGTTACTAGTAGCTTCTTGTTACTACTAGTAAGGCACTTGTTTCTAGTAGCTTCTTGTTATTAGAGAAGTCTTGTTTTTAGAGAAGACAACTGCATTCTCTCGACTTTAATGCTGTGCATTGAATTTGCCTTGTTTCTGAGCGCTTGCTTGAACGATTTCTCGGGCAGAAGCAAGTGGAGCCGTGCAGAGAGGTCGTTGACGATGGTTGCGGAATTGCTGCTGAAGATTTCGAGAAGGCAGGAGTGACTGGAGGGCTCTAGGAGAAAGGACGCTACTAGGGGCTCCTGGCCGTACTACTAGGAGCAAGGACGCTACTAGGAACAAAGGGGCTTGTTTTTCGCACCTTTGTAGGTGGCTTCGAGGCATGCAACATCAAAAATCCGCCAATACAATGATCTCAGTGACCCGGACTGTACACTGCAACTTCCATGAACACAGCAGAAAGAAATAGAAGTAAAAGACTAATTAGAAGCAAAAGGAACCTAATAGCAATGGGGCAATAGGTTTGTTTCTTGTTTCCTTGTGGTGGATGCAAGGAGTTTGGTTCTCTTCAGCTTGACGCTTTTGACCGAGGCTCTGGTGACTTCTCGACCTTCGGCTTTCGCGGAGAGGCACTGAGCGCCATCAGTGCCATGGGGGACCTGACGATCGCCACGAAGACGAAAGCTTCGGCCGCGCCCCGACGAAAAAGATGATTCGTAAGAGCGAACGGAGCTGGGCTTCCTTGTTACTACTAGTAAGGCACCTGTTACTAGTAGCGTGGCACCTGTTACTAGTAGCTTCTTGTTACTCTTTAACATGAAACACCCTGCAACTGCATAAAATTCATCATGGCCACTCTGGAAGACCCGATGATGATCGCAGCTAGCTGCCTCCTATCCAGAGTTTGATGGCGGATGTTTGGAGAGCAAGCTTTGTGTACCTTTTGGGGCAAAACATTGGATTCTGTGCCGAACTGGCAAAGACGAACGACTTTGGCTGTTGGACTTCGATGATTTGCTCCTTTCTTGAGAAACTAAAGGCGATGCACTTGTTACTAATAGCTTCTTGTTACTACTAGTAAGGCACTTGTTACTAGAAGCGATGCACTTGTTACTAGAAGCCTCTGGACTTTGGGTCTCTGAAGAACGTCTCTGAAATGTCGATGTGGATGCCGCAATTGAGGCATCACTGCTCTGCTACGAGACTTGGTGCAATCTGGATGAGCCATGCTATGCCATGCAGAAAAGCAGAGGTTTGTTTTATTGAGAGCAGCTTTGGCAAGATAGACACTGATAAATGCTTCTAACTTTCATGAACCTGGTAGAGTGGACTTTGTTCCTAGTAGCGATGCACTAGCTACTAGTAGCGATGCCTTTGTTACTAGTAGCAAGAATGCTACTAGTAGTAATGCCCTTGTTACTAGTAGCGATGCCCTGTTCAAGCCTCAACCAGCAACACTTATACTCTCGTCCACAAGGACAGATATGGAAAGCTGGCAAGCACTTCGCCCATTGCGCGGGAAGTGGGAACTACGGTGTCAGCGCAGCGCTCGGAAGCACTGTGGTGTGTTTCGTCGCATCACGGCTCACGTTCCATCCTAGTAGCGATGCCCTTTGTTACTAGTAGCTTCTTGCTACCTACTAGTAAGGCACTTGTTACTAAAAGCGATGCACTTGTTACTAGTACATAATCGTTGATGTGCACATCCTAGTTTTCCCTTGGAGTCAAAGTTAGTTTTTACCACAAAGAAGACCTGTATCAAAGCCTTTTCCCAACCTCAGGTGCGGGAGCTCTTTAAGCGCCTGCCTGTGCGGCACAAGGAGTTCATGCGGAATGCCAAGTCGCAGGTGACTTGTGCAAATTGACATGAAGAAGAAAGATACATTCCAGCGAAACAGGGAAAGAGAGGAAGAAAGGAAGGAACAATGAAAGGTCCAAGGTCCAAAGAATGAAACACGACTAACAAAGTCAGATTTAAGCAAACCTGGCACGTTCTTGCAGTAAACACATTGCAAAGGGTGAAAAGAAAGACCCAAGACCACAGGACCACAGGCGTTCTCGGTAGCAACAAGGGTACAGCATTGACCGCCACAAGTAGCTGCAAGGACTACGGAACTCCCAAAGCCTTCCCAAATGCTCACTATAGCCATATCTAGCCACGTAGTAAGCATGTAGTTCTTGATTTCGCTTCAAACTTGATGTCTCATTTGACATTTTGAGCCTAAAGAGGCAGTGGAGTAAAGGAAGTCTGCTTTTGAAATGCCAGAGGAGTATGGACATAGACTTGGCCAGGTCAGCGCTACACTTCGACTCATCCAGTCGTACGCCATCGCACAACCACAGGCGGTGTTGTCAAAAGAATTTGGGAAAAAGACGTGGTCTAATAGCGTCCTTGCTACTAGTAGCTTCTTGTTCCTAGTAGCAATGGCCTCCAACCTACTTGCGATGGCCTCCACCTAATAGCGTCCTTGCTAAAGGTTAGATAGAAACGAAAAAGAATAACAGAAGAAAGGTCCAGTCTCTTTCGAGTGTTCTTGGCGGAACAGTTGCTTTACCGCAGAAGAAAAGATTTTGTTGTAGGCGCAGTTCTGGGTAGTGAGGAACAGCGAGAAGGGAGAAACGGTATAAAACGAGTAGAATTTGACATTCCAGATTGAAAGAATTGCTGAACCACCAAAAAACACCATGTTCTTTTTCATTTTCTTTTCCAGACTTCAGATCTTTTTCTCAAATTGACATTCCAGTAGATTTCTTTTCGAGGAAGTCAAATTCCAAAGTCGAAAAATCCAGGTCCGCTTCAGCGTGATTGCTGAGAAGCTGCGGGGTCCAAGCGCCGGAAAAGCCACACTGCTGTGCACATCAGGCACCAATGGAGCTACTAGGAGCAAGGACGCTACTAGGAACAAAGGGCATGGCTACTAGGAGCAAAGGGCATCGCTACTAGGAGCAAAGGGCATCGCTACTAGGAGCAAAGGCTATCGCTACTAGGAGGAAAGGGCATGGCTACTAGGAGCAAAGGGCATGGCTACTAGGAGCAAAGGGCATCGCTACTAGGAGCCAAGAACATCGCTGCTAGGAGCAAAGGGCATCGCTACTAGGAGCAAAGGGCACGGCTACTAGGAGCAGAGGGCATTGCTACTAGGAGCAAAGGGCATCGCTACTGGGAGCAAAGGGCATCGCTACTAGGAACAAAGGGAATTGATACTAGGAACAAAGAGCATCGCTACTAGGAACAAAGGGCATCGCAACTAGGAGCAAAGGGCATCGCTACTAGGAGCAGAGGGCATCGCTACTGGAAGCAAAGGGCATCGCTACTAGGAGCAAAGGGCATCGCTACTAGGAACAAAGGGCATGGCTACTAGGAGCAAAGGGCATCGCTACTAGGAGCAAAGGGCATCGCTACTAGGAACAAAGGGCATCGCTACTAGGAGGAAAGGTCATCGCTACTAGGAGCAAAGGGCATGGCTACTGGGCATGGCTACTAGAAGCAAAGGGCATGGCTACTAGGAGCAAAGGCTATCGCTACTAGGAGGAAAGGGCATGGCTACTAGGAGCAAAGGGCATGGCTACTAGGAGCAAAGGCTATCGCTACTAGGAGCAAAGGGCATCGCTACTAGGAGCAAAGGGCATC